TAATGATACCGAAGCCCGGAAAAGAGTACACGATTCCGTCATCTTACCGACCAATAAGTTTAAAATCATGCTTGTCCAAGTTATTTGAAAAATGCCTACTAAAGCGCATAATTCCTTATCTGGGAGCTCACAACATCATCCCAGCTCATCAATTTGGCTTCAGAGAAAAACATGGAACTATCGAGCAAGGTAACAGAATAACATCAGAAATTCGCACAGCCTTCGAGCATCGAGAATATTGCAGCGCGATATTTCTCGATGTTTCTCAAGCATTCGACCGCGTCTGGCTCAACGGCCTCATGCACAAAATAAAAACACTTTTGCCGGTATACACACACAAATTACTTGAGTCGTATCTCTACAACAGAGTCTTCGCAGTGAGGTGCAACGCAATAACATCTGGCATCTATTCAATCGAAACTGGAGTCCCACAAGGAAGCGCACTTGGGCCTACCCTATTTGTCCTATACACAGCGGATATCCCCACAAGCGACCAGCTAACATTATCCACTTTCGCTGATGACACTGCGATCCTCAGCCGTTCCAGATGCCCAGTCCGTGCAACAGCCCAGCTCGCCAACCACCTCAAGGTAGTCGAGAAGTGGCTATCTGACGGGCGTATCAAAATAAATGAACAAAAGTGTAAGCACATAACGTTGACTCTCAACAGACAAACATGCCCACCGCTCTACCTGAACAGCACTCTGATCCCCGAAGTCAACGTGGTAATGTAGCTGGGCGTCCACCTGGACAGACGCCTAACATGGCGAAGACATATTGAATGCAAGAAACTTCATCTAAAACTAAAAGCCAGCAGCCTCCACTGGCTCATAAACTCCCTGATCGCCCCTGTGTCTGGACTACAAGGTCCTGCTCTACAACTCCACACTAAAGCCAATATGGACGTATGGCTCCCAGCTCTGGGGGAACGCGTGCAGCACCAATCTAGACATCATACAGCGCGCCCAATCAAAAATCCTGAGAACTATCACTGGGGCACCATGGTATATTCGCAACGAACACATCCACAGGGATCTCGGCATTCCTGCAGTTAAGAACGAAATAGAAAAACAAAAACACCGCCCACCCAAATCCTCTAGCAAGGGACTTAATACGAGTTTCCAGAAGAAGCCGTCTACTACGTAACGACCATCCAACCCAGCCATAATTAGTCGGGGCCATTTACCCTGTACCAGTCTGATGACTGCTAGTATTGTAAGATTTGATACACTTATTGTTAGTCTCATAAATGAGAAGATTCAATAAATAAAAGCAAAGCATAAAAAAAAAATCAATTTCTCAGCTAATTTCAATGCCACTCACAGGGAACGACCCAAAAATCAAGCTAGCTACGAATAAATAAATATTTCCGAAGAAATGCCTAGGTTTTAGGCCATAAATTCTGCCCCAGGAAAAGCTGTCCTTATAATCGGTTCCCTCTCTCGGCCTCCTTGTAACGACTGCTATGGGCCAGGCCCAAAACGCGTCACCGCCGATTCTTTTGCTCTTCTGCAGACACCAAATCAACCATTTCTCTTGCTTCGTATCCCGGTGGCTGACACTTTACACCTCACGTCAGCTCACCGATCGTCCAAATGGGACAAGGAGGCTTTCTGTCCCATTTCTTTACAAATTTTTCGGTAAAGAGACCCTGGACGTGACTGAGTTTTATCCCAGCCGTCGAGACTTCCTTACAATACATATGTACGTATTGTACATTCCCTGCAGTACCACATTTCATCAATAGGCTTTTTCATCAACAATTCATCAATTCGACTGCGACGCCGACAGAATCGACGCTCTGCCGACTGCTACTTGAACCCTTCGGAGACCCGAACTCCCTTCGGAGACCCGAACTCCCTTCGGAGACCCGAACTCCCTTCGAGTCCGATTTGTCAGTGCATGCAATAAAAAAAAAAAAAACAAAAACAATTTGAATGGGCTTCGTTTTTTGAAGTCCCAAACAAACTAGAAGACTCAATTAAAGTAGATTCTCGAAGCTTCGACTCCATATTTTCGGAGCAGCGGTTTTCGGTTTCGTCCCTTTGCATTAGAAGTTGAAGTGCTCTGAACTCCAGAAGTGTTGTGTGTTTCATTAATTAATAAATAAATTATTAAATAAATTCGTTCCGGGCCGTGATTGTTTTTAATGAAATAAAAGCCTATGTGCATTATTTTATTTATTAGGTATATATTATATTATTTTTTTCTTTTCGGACTGCAGTAATGGCCAACATATTGAAACGAGGATCTTTTGGGTAAATTCTATTTAATTGTATTATTATGTATTCCCTTGATTAATTATTATTTTTTTGCAGATGCAATTGCCCAAGTGGATAGAACTGAGCCTTCAGAGAAGATACTGCGCAAAAACAAATGGTCTACGTCAATTAAAAGCGGAAAACTTAGGAGCAAACAGACCTTGAGGCCTTACAATATATGAATTTAATGTTAATTGTTTATATTTGTGTTTTAGTGTTGGTATAGAATTAGTAAGAATAAATAATATTAATAAAATATCTAGAATTTAATTTAATATATGAAAAAAAAACATCAAAAATTCATCGATGAATCGATAATTCATCAACATTTCATCAGTATTTCATCAACAATTCATCGATTAAATGATGATGAAATGTTGATGAATTGCTGTTGATCAGAGATGGGCACGAGATCTAACGGTTTGGGTAGCAGCTTGGCCAGAAAAAAAATCAACAACAAGCCCCAGCGTTGCGACGCGTCGCACCCACGCGACACACAGAATGTGCGAGCCGAGAAAATACACTGACAAAAACTTTTTGAGTAGACAATATCTTCAGCCATTTTTGTGTGCATTTATGTCCGCCTAAGAAAAACGACTGCAAAAGAAATCCAAACTTTTTTTTTTAGCCGCACAGTTCCCTTTAAAATTGTTCTTGTTTTTGGGACGATGTGCGAGTTCGGTCGCTTGTGTTTTGTTGTTGCAAACTCGGGATCGTGACGATGTGCTCGCTACCTGCGCCAAAGGTCAGTGTAGTTGTTTTTGTAAATCTTCACGGTTCGCTGATCGCGAGGAACGACTGCAATGTGCGACTTGCTGGCGCCTCCGAAAAAAGATAACGGTTTGAGCAGTGTGAGCAAATTGAGCCACGGCGTGCCCATCGCTGCTGTTGATGAATGCCTAGGACATGCCAATGTTAAATTCATCAATAGTTTGTATGGCGATTCATCGATGAATCATCAACAAAACGCTTCGGCTATTGATGAAACGTTGATGAAATGTTGATGAATGGTACTGCAGGGTTTTTAGCAACTGACGTGTCGCTGCGGTTATATGTATTGTATGAATGCACACTTAAGGGGGTCTTCTCATTCAAAACCCGTTTTTTTAACGTTTTAAAAAAAATCTTATTTGAAAACGCAAAAAATAATTTAAAACTTTTTTTATTTATTGTATTACAAAAGGCTCAAAGTAAATAAAAATTTTTTTTGTCTCGATACGAGGGCTGTTCAAAAAGTAATTAGACTTCAAAGTTGGTGGTGAAAAAAAAAAGGTGTCGTCCCGGCGGCCAGGATTACGGGTCTCCGGAGCGTTTGAAATGAAAAAAAAAAACTTGGTTATTGAAGTGGAGGGGGCGCAGTGGCCAAAACAAGATCGTCGTCCTTCTTGGAGGTGTGGTCGTCTGGAGTTGGGCTGGCTGCTGAGTCCCACAATTTTCCCAATTAGTAGGCGAGAGGGGGGTAGCTTCGCTTCAGTTCAATTTTATTGCTTCACTTCTTTATTACGACTAACTTAATTACATGGAGAGCGGGCTGCCGGGACCGCGGAGTGGTGAGTTCGCTGCTGGAGAATAGCGAAAGAGAGGGAGACGGGAAGAGCGGAGGACACAGTGAGCGGGAGCACAAGCTTGAGCGCAAGCGCTCGCCGCTTACACTGCCGCTCATAACTTCACGCCCTTCTGGCGTGAACATTCTCCCCCCCCCTTGCGCTAGCAAAAGGAACCAGGATCAGCGTCAGTGTTCCAGAACGGCTCCGGAAACGGTCCATCCGAACACGGTGCTCTGAGCCACAGGCAAACCATCCTCGAGTTTCAGGAACCCCGGTTGGATAAGTTTCGCAAACACATCTGCGCCCAACACGAGGGAGATGGTTGCCGGGCGGTGGAATTGTTCATCGGCAAGGCGGATGTCGCCGAACTTTGCCCGTGTGGCGTCGCTCAGAGCCCGAATAGGAGTCCGGATCTTGAGGCTCGGGTCAAGCTTCAGGACGACCTCGAGCTTAAAGTTGCCTGTTCGGGATCGGAGCGTCGCCGAACAGACCTTGTCGTCTCCCAGACTGGTGAAGGGCAGCCGGAAAGCGGCCGCCAGCGATCGGTCGATGCTGCTCACCGCCATACAGGGGTCGATCATCGCCGCGGTCTCGAACGTAGAAGATCCCGTGTCCACCACGACGATGGCTGTCGGAAGTATGTGGATCGTCTTCTGACGAACCAACGTGGCCACCGACGTAGCCGTAGCGGAGACCTCCAGACGTGGACGCTCAATGGCGGCCCGGTTTGGCGACGAAGAGCGGGAGACGGACCCGGCGGAACAGCGGGGATGCGACCTGGCGGATTGGCGCGGATTGCGCGACGGGTGGGGTGGAGACGGCTCCTCGTGCATATGCAGCAGGGTGTGGTGGTTCCCTCCACACTTCTTGCAGCCGTCCTGGCTGCGGCAGGTCCCCTCGGAATGTTGGTGGGCGAGGCAATTTGAGCAGTACTTATTAATAAGTACTGCTCGGAGGCGCTTCTCGGCGCTCAGCTTTCGGAACCTCTTGCACTTCCGAAGAGGATGGATTCCCCGGCAGACTCGGCAGCGGTAGGACTGAGTACCTCGGGAACGTCTGCTTTCCAAGGACTGGGCGGTGCGAGGACTTGGAGCCATGGTACAAAAACGTGTCCTGCGATGAATAGAAAAAAAGAAAAACGAAGTGTTAGCAGGGGTAGCACGAAACGTCGGACCTCGGAAACTGAGAAGCCCTAGTCCCTGGGAACGGAGGATACTTGATCCTCCGCAGGGAGAAGTATGACCTTATGGACTGGGCGCTTGATAGTCCCACGAGCTGTGCGGATCTCCGCAACTCGGATAAGGTCATCGGCTCCTTGGAAGACAGAACTAATTCTGCCGAGCCGCCATTCGTCGGATGGAAGATTGTCCTCCTTGACGACTACCATGTCGCCGATTTGGAGGTTTCGGGTCGGATATTGCCATTTGTAGCGTTTGTGGAGTTCCTTTAGATACTCCTCTTTCCACCGAACACTAAACTGCTGATGTTGGGCCTTTAAATGTTGCCATCGATTGAGTATCGATTTGGCTTCGCCCTCGGGCTCCGCCGTGGAGAGCAACGGTCCTCCAACAAGAAAATGGCCCTGTGTGAGGGCCAGCAAGTCTGAGGGATCTTCGGACATCGGGGAGAGGGGTCTTGAGTTGAGGCAAGCCTCAATCTTTGCGAGGAGCGTCGCAAGTTCCTCGAAAGTGTACTTGCGGGTCGCGGAAGCTTTGTAAAACAGAGTCTTAAAACTCTTGACGCCCGCTTCCCATAGACCCCCCATATGTGGAGCCCCTAGTGGAATAAATCGCCATACGAGCCCCTGATGGCTGTATGCATCAGTCACAGACTCCTTGACGGCTTGGAGGAAGTCTCGAGAAAGCAGAGTTGCTGCCCCCACAAAGGTCTTGCCATTATCCGAATGGACCCGCTGAGGACAACCGCGCCTCGCTACGAAACGAGCAAAGGCCGCTAGGAACTTCTCGGTTGTCAGATCGGAAGTGGGTTCCAAATGGATAGCCTTCGTAGAAAAACACACAAACATAACCCTTTGTTATGAGACACGCTCTCCCTGTATAGTTTTTGATCTCGAAAGGGCCGGCGTAATCAACCCCCGTGTACGTGAAAGCCCTCGAGAAGGAAACACTGTCTGTCGGAAAATCGCCCATCAGCTGGGTTTGAAGTCGCTTCTTGTAAATCGTGCAAATTTTACACGGATTCACCATAGCCTTCACCAGATTCTTGATTTTAGGAATCCAATACTTCGATCGGATAAGGCGTACAATTAATTGACTACCGCCATGAAGAGTAATCTGGTGAGCAAATTGGATGAGAAGGCGAGACAGTCTGCAGCCATAGGGAAGTATTATTGGATGGCGTTCGTCATACTGCAACCCTTTGGCAGCAGTAAGGCGACCACATGCTCTTAGGAGGCTGTGTTGGTCGATAAACGGAAACAAGTTCGCAATCGGACTGGACACTGGAAGGGACCTTTTCTCGGCCAGATGCTTCTGCTCTTGGCCATATGCTCTGCGCTGCGCAATGGAGATTAAAACTCTTTCTGCCTCCCGGATTTCATCACTTGTGGGTCGTGGAGTGGGCGAGATCGAGCTCTTGCGGCAGCGTTTAAGGAATCGCAGAACGTACGTTAAGACCCGCAGAGCTTTGTCCAGTTTGGAGAAACGCTCAAGATATTCTTCGGACGGGGTCTTGCTGAAATGCACCTTGACTGCACGCTGTTCTAATTCGGTCGGATCGATGGCATTTTGGGCAGGCCATAGCTCACGAGGGCCCTGCAGCCACTCTGGTCCTTGCCACCAAAGTTTGCTATCCGCTAGGTCGATCAGGGGTACGCCTCGACTGGCTAAATCGGCGGAGTTTTGTTCGGAGGGAACATGTGCCCAACAGTCGACTGGTGTTGCCTGAGTGATCTTGGCAACTCTGTTGGCCACAAACGTAGTCCAGTTGCAAGCAGGCTTACGTAACCAGGCTAGGACGATCGTGGAATCTGTCCAGCAGCGGAGATCGGAACTGGCGGTAGGCAAATGCGGAAGGATTGCTGTCACCATTTCGGTTAAAAGCACCGCTCCACAGAGCTCTAGCCGGGGGAGGGACACGGTTTTCACCGGAGCCACTCGTGTCTTGGCTGTCAGCAGACGAGTCAAGATCTGGTGACCCATCTCGACGCGGACGTAGATAGCAGCTCCATAGGCTTTCTGCGACGCGTCACAGAAGCCGTGATGCTCTACGATGACCTCTGGCTGGTACCCAACCCACCTTGGAACGCGGATCTTGTTGAGGTCGGAATATTCTTTGAGAAACGACTGCCATCTCAGACTCATGGGCGTGGGAAGCTTGTCATCCCAGCCTAAGTCTTGCAACCAAATCTCCTGCATAAACATTTTGGAACGGATGATGAACGGAGCCAGCCATCCGGCAGGATCGAACAACTTAGCGATTTGGGATAAAACTTCCCGCTTTGTTCTGGAGGGACGAAATAGAACTCGTCGGACTTTGCCCTCCATCGAATACCAAGCGTCTTGGCCGTGCTTTCGGCATCGATATCGAGGAACTCGCTATGGAGAAGGTGCTTAGCTGGTATATTGCTTAGTATGCTCTTATTGTTAGAAGTCCATTTTCTTAATGGAAACCCAGCGGAACTCAGAACTGCTCGCAATTCTTGGACCGAATCTTGGGCATCTTTTACGGAATTTGCGCCGGGCAGCACGTCATCGACATACATGTGATGCTGAATAATGCGGCTGGCCTAAGGAAATGGCCCTTGGACGTCTTTTGCTAGCTGTTGCAGCACTCGGATAGCCAAGAAGGGCGCGCAGTTGACCCCAAAAGTAACTGTCTGTAACTCGAAGTCTTGGATATCTCCTTTCTTATTTCGGAACAGAATTTTTTGAAGGGTGTGTGCTTGGAATCGACCCAAATCTGACGGTACATTTTAGTAACGTCCGCACTGAAGACATATTGGAAGCATCGCCACTTCAGGATCTGAATAGTCAGATCGGATTGCAGGACTGGACCAGCATGAAGAATATCATTTAAACTGGATCCATTTGCTGAAGGGCTTGAAGCGTCAGATCGGATTGCAGGACTGGACCAGCATGAAGAATATCATTTAAACTGGTTCCATTTGCTGAAGGGCTTGAAGCGTTAAATACAACGCGAAGCTTTGTAGTGGTGCTTTCGGGCTTGATCACCGCATGATGTGGAATATAGTAGGTAGGAGAATTGTGAGTCGACGGAACTTCTTTCATATGACCCAGATCCAGATATTCCTGAATCACGCTGTCATATTGCTTTTTTAGGGGAAAGTCTCTTTTTAACCGATTTTCGTTTCGGAGAAACTGAGCTAACGCGATGGACCTCGAATACCCTAGATTGAATCCAGAATTTACGGGGTCGCAGAACGGGAGCGTCACCACGTACCTCCCGCTTGCGTCTTTCTTCGTCGTTTGGAGAAAGTTCCTCTCGCAATAGAAATCCGACTCCTTTACTATCTGGACTGGTAGATCTTCCACCTCCCAGAACTTGCTGAGAAGCGTGTCCAGTGCCTCGTCACCTACTTGGTGTACTTGAGTCTTGAAGGATGCGACTCTGTTTGAGTTCACCTGGGAGATCGGGCCCGTAAGCACCCATCCGAAAATGGTCTCTTGGCCTAGTAGAGAGCCGCAAATGTTTCCTCGCGTGCCACTCAGCATGACCGAAGGTAAAATGTCGGCCCCGATTAGAACATCAATTTGCGAACTCTCGTAGAATTTGGGGTCTGACCATTGGAGAGCGGGCAGGTCTTTCAAAGAATCCCGAGCTATTGGATATGAGGGCAATTTGCCCGCCAATGCCGGAAGGACGTAGGCTGCGGTGTCTAACTGGAGACCCGGCTTAGTAGGAGATCGCACTTGAAAATGGCAGACTCTGGTAGACTTCGCCGAAACAGATTGGTTCAGCCCGGAGACTTGAGTTTGGATGCTGCGGAATGGCAGCTTGATCAAATTGAAGAGGCGTTCGGAAATGAAAGTCGCCTCGGATCCCGAGTCGATTAAGGCTCGTGCTCGGTAGTTCGTGCCGAGATGGCACACATCGATAATTGCCGTGCTCAGCAGAACGGCTGTAGTGCCAGAGGCGAAGTAATTTTGCACCGTTGGATTGCTCGTCGATGCATTACTGCTGGAGGGTCCTGAAGATAGCTGAGCAGAGGGCGTGGAGGATCTTGAATTTGCCGGAGTTGCATTACGATGTAGCAGAGTATGATGTCTCCCTTTACAAGTGAAACAGCTGTGCGTGCTCGTGCAGTCACGTAGCTGGTGGCCTCTTGCAAAACAATTGAGACAGAGCTGCTTCTTTTTTATGTAGCCGGAACGCGCGTCGACGGACATTTGGAGAAAGCGCGGGCATAAGCGTACTGGATGATTCTCCTTGGAGCATAAGTCACACCCTTTTGGTTTGGTGCTGACTTTCGTTTCGAAGGACTGAAGCTTTTTCGGGACTGCTTGAGTCGGCTTCATGTCCTCGATGGCCTCTAATGTGCGATATCTTTCGCTTAGGAAGGTGTTCATCTCTTCCCAAGCCGGAATGTCGGATTTCGACGTTAGGGACTGTTCCCATAGCGAAAGGGTAACTTTCGGCAGCTTGCTTGCGCACAGGAACACCAGCAGACAATCCCAGTTGTCCGTGGATATTTGGGAATGTGCTAGCGCTGTCAAACACCCCTGAATCGTGGACTGCAGCTCTTTCAGCGCATGACCAGATTCTTGGGAGATGGAACTCAAGTTGAACAGAAGCTTGAGTTGGCTGTTGACTAGAAGTCGTTTGTTTTGGAAACGGTCTTGAAGCGCTTCCCACGCAGAGGCGAACCCGTCATTTGTGAGCGGGGATTTGGAGACGATGGCTTTCGCCTCGCCGCTCGTCTTCGTGAAAAGATGGAAGAGCTTCTCGACCGGTGTCAGCCTGGGGTTGTTGACATAGACTGCCGTGAATAGGTCCCGGAAAGTGGGCCATCGAAGGTAGTCCCCGTCGAAGACTTCTGTATCGCAGGGAGGTAAGCGGCAACCGGAGGAAATGATTGGCTGGGAGGGTGGTTGCACGGCTTGAGGCGTGGCACTGTCAATTGTCGCACTGATCTCTGCAGAACATGACTCATACGCCGAATAGCAATAGTCATATTTGTTCTGCAGCACGGACACCATTTCGAGGGATCCTTCTTGGGCAATTAGATCGGAGCACGTGGCGTACTCCGTCTCTACCTTGTCCCATAAGGCTCTCACTTGTTGCAGGCGGACTTGTAGCAGATGTAGGGACGGGGAAGCTTGACCTGGAGTATTGATCTTTGCTTCAAAAATGCTCACACGATCGCTGGCGGCTATGAATTTGCGCAACGACACGGTTGCGGCCGTTGGCGGTTCGGCCGTTGGCTGTTCGGCCGTTGGTTTTTCAGCGGATGCCATTTTGTGGCTGCTAGAGCGTGTCACCCTCAGGAATTCCGGCTTTGAAACAGAGGGAGACTCTGACTTTATGGCAAGCGAAGAGTCGCTAGAAGCTTTTGTCACCGGACGAGAGATGACTATTCGTGGAGCGTTTGACGGACTTGTCGATCGACGATCCGTCCCTTTGGAAGTGGAAGCCGAACTTCTGATCCTCGGACTGGAGGGCCTGGGTGCTGAATGGGCTCGAATGGGCCGCGGAGAGGATGGGTTCGACTTGGCCGGGGAGGAGATTCCCTTTTTATCTCCCTCTATGGGCATACTCAGCTATGCCCGATGAAAAAAAAAGGCCTGCCCCCCGCAAAAAGAAAAGCGAGTGCACGGAAAAGGAACTTTAATCCTTAAACACTGTGGAAAACCCTGCGAAGTTCGCAGAATAAAAAAAAACGGCAGGAAAAGAAAATAGCCAAATCTAGCTATGATCAGTCGCTAGCAAAACGAGGGAACTGAACTGTCAGTGACGGATCTACGAAACGCGTGCGGATAATAGACTATAGCGAAAAAAGTAGCTAGATCTAGCTACAAACTAGGCTCGGAAATTGTTGCAAACTCTTAGCCACTTACTCAAAATTGGCTTCTTCGACCTTAAGTTCCGGAATACGACAGCAACAATCGTAGAACTTTGCGAGAAAAAAAACCCGCCAAAACTAGCTGGAAAACGCTAATAAATTTGGCGGAATCTGCTAATACCTTTCGGGAATTATATGGGTTTTTCTTTTGTTTTTTCCGACAAAGGTCACAAAAAGGTCGTAAAGAACTACGTGGAAAGAAATTCACAAAAATAGCTTAAAACAATAAAGGAAGCTAACTTCGGCACGCCGAAGTTTGTATACCCTTGCAGATTGGTTTTGATGTTTATTTTATAGATTTAAATGCTGAAAACACTCACAAAACAGAGTTTCATTACATTTTACCTATACTTATTATGTTTACAGTTTGACAGTTACAGTTTTACATTCCCAGCTTTATATATTTTCACATTTACCGATCGCTTCTATGGCAGCTATAAAATATAGTTGTCCGATTTTTATGAAATTTATACCAAAATTCAAGAATAATAAAAAAAACGTATATCTCAGAGTAAATAAAAATGCGTTGAAAAACAACGAAGCTATAATTTTATTTCTATTAATTTCCCGATCGTTCCTATGGCAGCTATATTATATAGTCGTCCGATTTTTATAAAATTTTTACCAAAATTCTGGAATATTATAAAATGGCTATATGTCAAAAATGATGCAAAAATATTGAAAAACAGCCAAGTTATAATTTTTTTTCTAAAAATTTATCGAACATTTGTATGGCAGCTATATGATATAGTCGTTCGATCCGGCCCGTTCCGACATATATAGCAGTGAGAGCATATAGAAGACTATATGCAAAGTTTCATTCAGATAGCTTTAAAACTGAGGGACTAGTTTGCGTAGAAACGGACAGACGGACGGACAGACGGACGGACAGACGGACGGACAGACGGACATGGCTAGATCGACTCGGTTACTGATGCTGAGCGAGAATATATATACTTTATAGGGTCGAAAACGTCTCCCTTCACTGCGTTGCAAACTTCTGACTGAAATTAATACATTAATAACTTAAAATGATTGCCAAAATTGTTGTTTGTTAATAATGATTAACAAACAACAATTTTGGCAATCATTTTAAGTTATTAATGTATTAATTTATATTTTATAATTATTTTTAATTGACTGTTTCCTTCCACCAACAATATGGCAGCCGTGGCGATAACTTTTTGCGATAGACTTATCAACCTATCGCTAAAACGAGAAAACTTGTTGAACACGGCAAAAATGTTGTTGTCAAATCTGAGGTGGGGTCAGAAATTTTTTTTTTATAAAATAATTATCTGCTAGAATGATCTTGTGGTTGTGTGGAATAAACATCAATAGAACACTGAGTAAACTATTTTTTCCTTTGCATTCGTAATTGCAGACTTGAGGTCATAGCCGGCTTCGATTTTATAAAAATCAAAGGCCCGGCTTTAGCTAAAAACAACAAAAAGAACTTGCCAATAGACAAGTAGCAGCTGTGGTGACGTTTCCGACCCTATAAAGTATATATATTCTTGATCAGCATCAACAGCCGAGTCGATCTAGCCATGTCCGTCTGTCCGTCCGTCTGTCCGTTTCTACGCAAACTAGTCCCTCAGTTTTAAAGCTATCTGAATGAAACTTTGCATATAGTCTTCTATATACTCTTAGTGCTATATATGTCGGAACGGGCCGGATCGGACGACTATATCATATAGCTCCCATACAAATGTTCGATAAATTTTTAGGAAAAAAATTATAACTTGGCTGTTTTTCAATATTATTGCATCATTTTTGAGATATAGCCATTTTATATTATTCCAGAATTTTGGTAAAAATTTTATGAAAATCAGACCGCTATATCTTATAGCTGCCGGATCGGAAAATGAATAGGAAAAAAATTATAACTTCGTTGTTTTTCAACGTATTTTCATCTACTTTGAGACATGAGCTTTTAGTATTATTTCAGAATTTTGTTAACAATTATTTGAAAATCGGACAACTATATCATATAGCTGCCATAGAAGCGATCCGTAGATGTAGAGAAAATGTAAAGCTGGGAATGTATGTATAACTGTAACTGTCAAACTGTAAACATAATAAGTATAGGTAAAATGGTATGAAACTCTGTTTAGTGTCTGTTTTCGGCTTTATAATATTTATAATATAAATACATAAACCAATCTGCAAGGGTATACAAACTTCGGCGTGCCGAAGTTAGCTTTCTTTCTTGTTTAAATATATTTTATTTAATTTTTATCTTTAAATGTATTTGGTTAAATAAAAATAATTTGAAAACTGAAATTTTTTTCAGTTGACTTTGACTTTTTTTAAATTCTAAGTGAGCGCTACAACATTTTTTTTTTTTTTTATACCCTTGCAGGAAATTATAATTTCAGTCAGAAGTTTGCAACGCAGTGAAGGAGACGTTTCCTATCCTATAAAGTATATATATTCTTGATCAGCATCAACAGCCGAGTCGATCTAGCCATGTCCGTCTGTCCGTTTCTACGCAAACTAGTCCCTCAGTTGTAACGGACGGTATATGTCCTTCGAGGAACGCTCTGTCTACGAAAAGGGGTCCGGCCGTGCTCAGGGAAAATGGCGTGGTTCTGGTTCCTCTTGGGACATTCCCATTACTTGAATTAAATGTAGACAGAGTATCGGGAGGAAATAAGGAAACCCGAAAAACTTGGAATTACGACTTGAACTAATTTTGTAAGAGAATTGAGGTGTTATTTATCTCCTAGCGAATTGAATTCCTCTGAGGTGTTGACCCTTAAGGTGCCTAAATAAAAAACTCTAATAATTCATAATTTCAATTTCGTTATAGTTTCATAAAGTTTATACTCAAAATATAATGTGCAATTAATTCTATAATGGTATATAAAAATTCAAAAAGAGTCGTTTTCATACTTAGATCCTAATATTTAACAAAGAAAGAACAAAAAATCGCTATTCAGAGCGATCTGAAGAACCTGTGTGCTGGTCTTGGCTTCTCATAAATTTTTTATATGTCGGCTATGCCGTACTTACGACCCAGTCCCTCGATGTCGACGGGCCCGTTGACCTCACGGTGACCTTTGCTGATAAATGTGGAAATTAAAGTCATATATGAAAAACCAAACTCGTCAGCAGCACATGAAAACAAATTCAGATATAAGTACAAATTCTCTTTAAAAGAAATATAAACTAAAATTAACAAAATAATGTAACGCAGGCGATACAAATGATCCTGCAGTTGATTAAGTGCACTGAAATATATGTCGCAGCGCCCTTTTTGGGGCCCGCCGATATAGCTGGTGAAAAGCTGAAGGGTAGATCCCCTAAAGAAACGACCTCCTTCTTGGTGTCTCTAGTGTCTCCTTTAGCCTCCAAATATATATGTAAACGGGCGTAGGGGGCCTGCGGCCGTGGCCGGCCAGAAGGCGGAATGGGCGGAAAACGTTGATCGCTGCCGCCGCCACTTAATTGGTGTTTTACTGGCTCTCAATAAAAGGGGTCGCTGCCCGATCGGGAGCGGGATGGCTCGGATAATCCGGCTAGAAAACTAAGGTTTATTTTCGATTCGAACCTCACTTTTTCACAAAAGGCTTACCCGGAGTATTTCGGAGCAAAAAACACAAAAATAATTGTTTCCAGGAATTCTCCTTTATATAAAATTCCAATGCCTTTGTGCGACAATGCACACTTAGAAGTTCGGCGAGGTTGGAAGGAATTTTCCTGCACGTGCCGTTTTATATATATATATATTTTTTCTGTGATATAGTAATCACGATGTTTCGCTGGGCACCGATCTCAAGAGAATGAGAGAAGGGAGAGAAAACGGAAACGCGGGTGGAAAAATTAAGCTCGATTTGCCAGGTGCATGACAAGTGCATGACAGCTAGATGACAGCTAATTAGAGTTGTCAGCTAGATGCATCGATCAGCTGCTATCTATGAGCATCGATATATATTGCATAGATAAGGAGCTTTATCTAAGCTAAGCTCTAGATTTAAGCTTTTACTTGCAGTTTACACTCGCGTCCAATTTTGTTGATACGGACCGCGACTGAATAATATGGAACTGTTAAATAAGTAAACATAAACTGCCTTCACCCTCACAGCACAGGTTTGATCTTTACTGCCACAGTATAGATAAAAGCTGAAAAAGGGTGACAATGGTTAGGCTTGCCAAATATCTTTTACATGAAAGTTTCCTAATTCTTTTCCATTTAGATCCTCTAACTTATATATATTTGTACCTAATTTTTGTCTAACTCTAGCTTTTATTCCTACGGGTGCTAGTTTAGCGTTAAAGTGAGAAGCCATATTACTAAGTTGAAAATTCCTTTTAATAACTTCATCACCTATTTCAAAGGAGCGGGGTTGTTTTCTTAAGTCATACGCTCGTTGATTTTTAGTATATGCT